TGTTCAAGGGTGGTGTGCGTCGTCAGAATAGAGTTGTAAGGCTCAACAACAGCAGTGGAGACCTGGGGGGCTGGGTAGATGGCAAATTCCAGTTTTGATTTCTTTCCGTAATCCACAGAGAGACGTTCCATAAGAAGAGAAGTGAATCCAGAGCCAGTACCGCCTCCGAACGAGTGGAAAATCAAGAAACCCTGGAGACCAGTACACTGGTCAGCCAGCTTCCTAATCCTATCCAACACCAAATCGACAATCTCCTTTCCAATAGTGTAATGACCTCTCGCGTAGTTATTGGCAGCATCCTCTTTACCAGTTATGAGCTGCTCAGGGTGGAACAATTGCCGATACGTTCCAGTTCGAACCTCATCGACAACAGTCGGCTCCAGGTCAACGAACACCGCACGTGGTACGTGCTTTCCAGCCCCGGTCTCGCTGAAGAAGGTGTTGAAGCTGTCGTCTCCACCCCCCAGCATCTTGTCAGAGGGCATCTGCCCATCGGGCTGGATACCATGCTCTAAGCAATACAACTCCCAGCAAGCGTTACCAATCTGAACTCCAGCCTGGCCGACGTGGACTGAGATGCATTCACGCTGAAAATTTTTAAAATCAAATAATTCCTGACATGGAGATGGGCCCCCCGGGCCGTGCACAGCGCTGTGCACGGCCCTGAGACGCCAGCTATTTTCACTTGGCGCGTAACGCGTGTAACGCGCGTAACGCCCGTGAAAGTGCCGACGCTCAGCAAAAAAAAATAAAAAAAAGGGGGCACAACCGGCATTTGTACAATAAACCTCCAGAGAATTCCCACGTCGTACTAATTAGCCTTGAATAAACCATCAATTTCAATAATTCCCCCTTTCCATTGCGAATTAAAAAGTTCAAAGTCCGTTTTTCAAATATTCCCCTTCGCTCTCCTCAAAATCATGTTATAAATTACGGAAATGAAATAATTAAATATTCTAATCTTAAATGTTTCAATATTTAATGGTCCTATTTAATCCAAACAAAAATGAAGAACCGAAAAAGACGGGCAAAAAAGAAAAAAAAATTCAAAAAGAGCTTAAAAACGTGTCAGATACGTGCGAGTCGCCATGTGACGATGAATTTCCTATTTCCCATTATATAAATTTAAACATTGTACAAACGAGCGCAGAAGTTAAAAAATACGTACCATTGTGATTTATTTCTCGGAAAACACACGGGAAAAAAACAGTGAACTCGGTTTCTCGAAGAGAATGGTAAAACTTGATCTCGTTCAATCGAAGCTGGCGATGGAGCTCCTGCAAACGATCTCAGCGTTGTAAAACGCCCGGAGAAGCTCTCGGTCTTTTATAGGTTCGGATTGCCCTCTCTCTTCTCCACCATTCGATCTTCACGACGCAGCACCAGAGCAGGACAGCAGAGAAACTAACAATCCTACACATTACGAATGAATTTGACGACTCTTTATAATTCTAATGTAATTTTCCTCGAGACAAAAGTAATGGATGAACCACGAGAAGAAAATTCTACGGGAGAACAATTAAACAAGATAATTGCTATCCAGTAATTTTTATTCCGGATTTGAGTACCTTGAATTCCTGTAGATTTAGATTCCGATGACAGGATACCTCGGGAAAAATGAAATAAACACACCCTCTGTATTTCCGGCCCGTCGAGACAGATATAAATAGCCCCAGGGCGTGGAAGATGCATCCGTCCAACGACCTATTCGCTGATGCCTTCAAAAATGCCACTTCCTCCACAAAAATTCATTAAAATATTTGTTCAAGAAATGGAAAAATTATTTTTTCGGGTACTGAAATTTTCACGACGCCCCTGAAATCCAATGTCCGTTAGAAAACCCCACAGCTCAAGGAACACGCAAGGCCAACAACCGGGGGGGACTCCAAACGAAATCCCCATGGAGAGGAACAAAAAAAAAACATCTGCCACCTCTGTAAATCTTTTCAATTCCAGTCTATTGTTTTTTTTTCTTTTTCTTTTTATTTTTCGAGGAAATGCAACTTCAGGTAGTTCAGGTAATGGAGTGGATTTTCTTCAGAGGGGATTTCTCCTTTTTGGAATTGAGGTCGGCAACGGACTGTCAAGGTGGGCGGGGTGGTTTGTACTGTTGCTCTTTACTTTGTAGAGCAATACATCAATTGAATGTAGTTTATCGGGGTGTGACGTCACTCGATTACCGAGTGAATACCATTTACGGTGATGAGGTCATGCCAACGAAGGATTTCTCAGGTTTTTATAAGAGACCCACACGATGGCGATCCGTCTGCTTGTATTTTTCAAATTTGCCATAATAAATTGTTTGAATTATGATGGCAAAGTCCAACAATAAATATGATAAAATAACAACAATAATAATAATAACAAACATTATTATTTTGTGAGTGTAATTAATGAGATTGGTAAACATTTTGTGAAATTTGATCTGTTCATTCCAATCGATTAATTTAGTCGAATGATATCGTCTGCATAAGCATCTCGATTCTGCACTTTCGACTCTTCCATGTGCCTCTCTTCGAAACGGCTCCCTAATTGCCATCCGCGGCTATTCTCGTATGGAAGAAACGAGTTTTGGTAGGTGCAGCAACAATCCACCAAATAAGGTGAGAGAAACCGTGACGACATCGAAGTTGGAGAGTAGGGCGTCGCATCCACTTCATATTTTTATGAGATGTTCTTCAACTCGGTGGAAATGGTATAAGCTAATTGGCAAATTGTGCTAAACATTTGAAAATAAATATGCTTAATTGCGCCCACGACCGGAAGAAACCGTCTGAGGGACATGTCCAGTGGTGGATGTGTATGAGAGACAATAAACACATTGTTTGTCTCCAGTGATGGCCGTGATGGTGTAGAATCTGATCTGATATCCACGCATACGCCCACCAGCTCATTCAACTTCGTCAGAACTCATTACCGCAGCTCTCCACAAATACTTTACAATAATATTTATTCATAATTTAATTTTGTAAACTTGCTAAAAATGACTCACCAGCAAATTCTTAAAGTGGAAGTCAACCGTATTTACAATTTTTCTTAATTATTGATTTATTTCAGGGTGAAAACATTAAAGGACTTGTGGTAGTTGAGTGAATTTACGACATAAATGTCTACTCCAGCATCTTCTGATAATCGACTTGATAGGGATTGCAAAGGTAATTTATCACAGATTTTCTCTCTGCGGAGGAATGTACGAAAAATTGCTTCATCTGAAACAAAATCGTATAACATCGTCCATCGTCATGCATCGGTCCCGGCCTAGCTGGAGCATAACGGAAATACGGTACCGTCTGGACAAAAAAACGAGCTCTTCACTCACAGTATTTATTTCAACATTCAACTGACAACAATATATATGTACAGCTTTGCGTATACATAATGTTAATTGTATAATAGGTTTTTGTCAATTATGTATCGCCTCAGATGGACTTCTATAATATACGTATAAATATGCGACTCGTATAGTTCATTAACCAATCGTTAATAATCATCAATAATAAGCTACTTATAATCTGGCCCAAGAAACAGAAATTCAAATTCTCCATAAGCAACAGTATATTTATCTCGATAATAATCCCCTGAATACACGCTATAAATTATTGTCCTTTAATAAACCCGATTCAAGATATGTATAACTAAGATATGAATAAGATATGGATAATAGACTCTTCACTCTCAACAAAAATTATTGTCTGATCGTCGATTCCAACTAATTAAGAATTAAGTTTGTGTACCACTTGGAAGGCCTGTCACGCTTATGTTTTCTCTTTACGCCTATGAGATACTGCAAATTGAATACATTTTATTATTCTCACTGTGCGCATGAAATCTTAAACTATTTACAATCTTACTGAATATTACTTTCTACCAAAATTACCAGATCACTAAGGAGAAGTCTATGAACGTCTTCAAGCAACACAATTATCTCATTAGGTTATTCCTACGGATTAACAATAGTCTTCAGATTATTCATTACTCCAGCATTTTCAGGTTTTGTTACCTCTTGAAATCGCGCACAAAATTATTCAATTGGAAAATTCCTCTCGCCTTTTCCTCGATAAAAACCTCCAATAGAAAATACTGCACGGAAAAGCCAATTGATTAATTCCCATCCAATTTCTTCCATTAGAGAAAAACTAATTGAACAGTCTCCAGAAATTCTAGAAAATTTTCTAGCGAGTGCCATATCTTTCCCTCTAAAATTATTTCATGCAACTCTCCACTCTCTTCAATTGGCTCATGAAACTTCAAGTGTTTCGGTCAGAGCAGTTGTTATTTTTTTTGTACAACACACGCCAGTCTCAATATAGTCTTAGCTCTTTATCAGATATTCTCGCATTTGTCGTTTTCGGGTTGTATAATTTATATGAAATACGTAACGATCAGAGGATATGTACTGTAACAATCAGATATATGTAGTCTAGATGCGCTGAGGGAAGATCAATAGCTGAGCGACTGTAGGTCGTGCAACGATCACCAAATCATTTTAAAAAAATCAAGGAAAAAATAAAATCCAACGATTAAGCAATTCAATGCACCTAACATTAGCTTAAACACGCGTAATTATTATCATTTCGTTTCGATAAATAGGCCTCGTTATTTCACGGTGCTGAGAGTGCAGTGCAATTACCAACAAATCAACAATTATTGTCGTTATCCATCCGTATCGCTTATTGTCATAAATTTTGTTTTCCCCACAAAAAAAAACAGAAGTAAATCTCTCAAAAATTATAGACTTGTAGAGATATTTATCAGAAAAATGACGATATGAGATGATAATTAAGCCCAATGGACGGCCCCTATTCTAGGATTAATACTTCAACTCCGTTTATTTCCACACGAAGCTAAATTAATTATTATGCTATATCAGGGTTCTCGATATGCAACATCATTCTATTTCAATCCAGCCTTCAGTACTTTTAATGTAATTCTGGATGTAAATCCTGTTATGAAGGAGATTAATGATAAATTTAACCTGGTGGATAAATGAAGCTGTGAATTCATCTCGAGATCGAGTGAAATTACAATAAAATGGGAGATATTTAGGGAGAGCACTCGGTTTCGATAGAATTCACTGTTCAACAAGAGGAATCTGTTTTGTACGTGTTATTGTTCGTGGTAGTCAAGGCAGGCATCGCTAACGAGTTATTTTCACAGCGTAATTGACACAGTTGACCCTACGATAGTGTGAATCCTCTCATGTAAATGATGAAGGGGAAAGTCATAAGGAGTAATGTAAACTGGGGAGAGCCATTTGCAATTCTCGCTTGACATGGGAGCTTTACTGATTTAGTCTGGCTTGAGCAGCCGAGACTGACGGAGGCTGTTCTAGGTGAGATCTTCGTCGTCATCGTCGTTGGGGCCGCCTGTAGGACAGCAGAGGCCCTCCGAGCCATCGCTCCTGATGCAGAAAAGAAGAGTCTCGGCTGCTGTCACCTCGTGGGGCACTATTCCATGGAATTCCTTGAGATCTTGAGCTGGGAACCAGGCTTTCTCATTGTCGTCGATAATGAGAATCCCGAAGAATCTGAAATATCAGATGTTCAATCAAACATTTATGCAAACGAAGACTTGACACTCGCATACACTATCTTCTATCGGCCGTAATCGTGAGTTTGAATTTTATATTGGTAGTGTAGAATATTTTTTAATCAAGTTCTTTCAAGTGTTCAAGTTCCAGTCACCACTTGAGAGTTTATAGCAAATGTTATATAACAATTGTTGCTAAAATCAATATTTCGATCTACCATCCATCAACAATTTTTCCTCTTTTTTATCATTACGTGTAAGGCTGAAATTTTGGAATATTTTACACTAACAAGATAAATTTCAAATCATAGATTACGTTCGATGGGATAGTGTCTCTGGAGTAAAATATCTATTGATTTTTTTTAATTATTGATTTTGAACAGAAATGTCCAGTCCTCGTTGGAACAAAATAAACATTTACAATTTTCACTTTAAATTCATAATTTTCCAGATAAATCAATAAGGAAAATAGTAGATTGACATTTATGAATTACTTGGATTTACCTGAAAATTGCAACAGCTGGAATCCAGAGGACTGAAGCGCAAATTAAAACGGCAATGAGGATCATGCCCCAGGGGGGCCACTCGTGCCTCTCGGTGATGCCCTTGCTGGGTAACCAGGCGTCGTAGCCGGTTCCTTTAGTCACGATTTCAACGAACGAAGCTACGAGAATTGTTAACATGGCTAAAGGACTCAGATACTTCCAGCAGATAAGCCAGTACAGGCCGGGACGATTGCCCGTCATCAATTCAATATCATCGGCAAATCTGTATAGAAAAAAGCCATCAATTTCGATCCCCTCCCCTTAACAAAAGAACAAACCAGTGTGTTACACGTTTTACTATTCAAATTACCGTTTGAGGCCGTAGACATAGGACACTCCGATACACTCGAAAAAGGCGATAATCAATAGGGGAAAGTTTCCACTAAAATTATCGAAAAGAACAAAAACGTAGCTTCCAGCTCCGTGGGCGAAAGCCATAGATATCACACAGCAGACCAGGCAAATTCCTCCTGAAATCAATAAATTCACCGGTTCAAATCAATTCGGTAATTTAATATATATATAATTGATAATTTCAGTAAACAATTTAGAAAACATTATTCTACGTGTATAATGAATGAATGAATGAATGAATGAATGAATCAATAGCGAAATATTACCTGTGAGAATTTCCTTCCTCAAATTAGGGAGAAGTTTCATATCAACAATGCTAGTGACAACGCCCTCAAGAGTACCGAACTGAGAATCAATTCCAAGTGTAAACAGCATGAGGAAGAATAGAACAGACCAGAACTGTGCTCCAGGAAACTGATTAATGGCTTCAGTGAATATGATGAAAGCGAGTCCGGTGCCAGAGGCAGACTGCAACAAATGACAGCAGATTAAAATTATTCCAATAATCCCCAATAAGGAATTTATAGAGGTACTCACGTTGTCCAGCTCCTTCTCGAGATCGCATACCGGTAGCTCCGGCATTATTATGTTATCAAGAGTGCCATTGCCACTGGTAATATTTAATAGAGTACCACCTGGGGGCAAGATGCTCGGTATGTTGTCAACATGCCCAAAGACACTCAATACCGTCTGATTACGATCGCGCAGACACTGCTCGTACACCATCGTCGCTTTGAAACCGATAATTGAGAATACAACGATTCCAGCGAACATCGATGTAAAACAGTTTGTGAGGCTGACCATAATAGCATCACGATAACAATTATTATTAACTGGATTGTAGGATGAAAATGCTATTAATCCTCCAAATGCTAAACCAAGGGAGAAAAATATCTGGGTGCCAGCTTCGAGCCATACTACTGGATCAGTCAGTGTGTACCACTATAATGTGCAGATAAAAAATACATTATAAATACAGTGAATTTTTAATTATTGAATCTCATGAGCTCAGAGACTAAAGTCGTTGTCATATCTCGAGAATTGGTAGAGATGGGAACATTTTTCTGGCAACTTTTTTGCAGGAAATTTAATGGATTCAAAAAAAGTGACCGACATAAATTGCACTGTCTTCACTAGGTCTAGAGAGATTCCGTATGAAATAAACTACTTGTGTGCGCGTTTCTCTTACACTAAAAATTAATACTTATACTTGATACTTGACGCTCGATTTTTCATTTGAATTTCAAAGGAGATATTTTCTTACGAGCAATGGCAAAAAGCAGAGAGGTGTTGGGGACGACAAAAGGGAGAGTATTAAATGGAAGAGGAATAAAGTTTCACAGAAAAATAAGAGATGCGAAAAATTTGAGAAAATGAAGAGAAAAGAATGGGGTGGAATTTGATGATTAAACCATGCAGGTTGATTTTATGAAATTTATTCACCTTCGGCGTGAAGAGGTGCCGCAGGCCGTCAGACATCCCTGTCAACGTGACGCCTCGGAAGAAAAATATGATGAGAACGATGTAGGGAAAAGTGGCTGTGACGTACACTACTTTTCCAGATGAAGCTATTCCCTTGATCATGCACATGTAAACCAAAATCCAGGCAATGACCAGAGCTATGGCAATCTTCCAGTTGAATACCTCAGGAGTGTTTATGTCCTTGGAGATCATCAGGGTGGTTCGGTACCAGAAATACTGCGTTGGGCTGCTTTGCTGTAGAGAAATTAGACATTTAACTTCAATAGATAAAATTGCCCATAAAAAATGTAATTTTTATTTGTGATAGAAAAAACCTAGAATGAAGGAGCAATAGAGACCTCAGAAATCATTCGCAATTGAATACTTCAATAGAATCGCCAAAACTCTATGATTTACCTGGCATTCTGGTTCAGGGGCATAAGACCCATTCTGAAAGTACTTATTAGGGCACGTGGCCCAGGGCAATTCGGACTGGAAGCTCTGAACAAATAAAAAATAATGGATCAAACCGTCTGAAAATCTAAAATAAAATTTCGTCGGCAGAAAGAAAGTGAAAGTGAACATTACTTGAACAAAATAGAAGAGGCACCAGGCAATAATAGTGTTATAGTAAAGTGCGACGTTAAAGGAGACAACAGCGCTGCTGATACCGATGCCTCCCAGGAAGGGTGAAACCTGGTTCCAGACCCCAATGGCGCCCTTCCTGAGCCTCTGACCAATAGCAAGCTCGAGGTAAAATATGGGAATCCCCTCGATAGCGAGCATGACGAAGTACGGAATGAGAAAGGCCCCTGAAATATCAAAAGTTGAATGACAATGCAAGATCCAATTCATCCTCATTTTTATTCACATACCACCCCCATTCTTCTGTGCCAAGTAGGGGAATCTCCAGACATTACCGAGCCCCACAGCATATCCCACAGTGGCCAACAGAAATGTTAACTTGCTGTCCCAGTTTTCACGCTCATCCTCACCAGCCTCTGGACGAAATATTGCCTTGCCCTCGTTGCTACCCAGTTTGCTGCCTCCGACCCCACTAGCACCTCCGCCATCCCCCGTGTTTGAACCCTTGCTCTACAATTAACAGGCAATTGCAAATGTAAACCTGCGGGTTTTCGCATACCGGGGTCACGATAAAATCGAGCCTCGAGTGGATAACAGAGATAACTCGCCCATTTTCAACAAAACAAACAGTATTCATTAGATTGGTTTGGCTTGATGGAAAACAGCGATTTATCAATGCATGTTTTATTCTGTTTTTTCATTCGTCAATCTTTCAAAAAATTTCCAGGATAATTTATTTGACTGAGTTATACTCATTTTTTCGCTGTTTTCGCTGTTTCATTCATCGAATTTTGGTGTTCTACATGTCGATTGATCAAGAGAAATTAAAAAATTCAAATTCCCTCATTCTGCTGACGTTTAAATATGAAGTAGTGAGAAGTAACAAACCTTGGTGTTTGGACTGGAGTCATCGAATCCGGCATTGGTGGCTCCATAACTGACAGTAGCAGCTGTCTTCCTGCTCTCGACAACGAGTCTTCCCCGCATTTCCTTCATCTCGAGGCGATCAACGCTCTTCTGAGGCTTGAGATCCCTGGAGCTCTGCCTCCGAACCAAATGGGCCGTGTTCGCCATCGTGACGATCAATTATTTCTACTTCGATAAATGCGATCAGACCGATGTATGCCGAGGGAACGTCGACTCCATCCTGCAAGCTGTACAAAACCCCCAAGACCAGTGAATCCCTCTGGCAAATTTTTCCGAAATCTCAAGTAAAAAGGAATGCGCGAGGGCGAGCCGTCTGACTCTCATCGGCACGCACTACTGCCCCCAAGAAACTCTTATTCATCCCTTGTCACCTTGACCTCCCCCTCGCGCTGAAGCAAAAAAATTAATTATTCAGGAGTTCTTATCACCGCCGATCTATAGCCATTATAGTAACTCTTCACAAATTTCCAAAAATAGAATCTTCACCCCTTTACTACCCCCAGGAATGAAATGGTCTCCACCTACAACTGAGACCGTCTCAACTCTACAGTCTCAATCGCTGAATTATTCAACTATAAACGATCCAGATAAATATGGCAAAAAAAAAAACTAGAGCGATTCAGCGAGTGTTTCCACTGACGTCAGAGGTGCGGGCCAATCGTCGCGTTGAAAAACTCATCAAGATTATTCACTGGGTGGTTTAGACACGTTAAAAATCACGTTATTTACTTTCTCGGGTAAGAGGTACTTGAATCGATAATCCAGAGGCACGAAACGTGGCGAATTTGCGATAAAATTTATAAAGAAAATACTGAGCAGTCGAGGTGCTCGAGGTGAAGAGGATGGGGGTGGATTAAAGGATGTATTTTTTTAATAGGGAAAAAAATCTAACGAGGCTCCTGACCTGAACGAGGCAATGTGGGCATAAATTTTTAATTGATAAATCAAAAACACTGACCTGGGGAGGGGGTCAATGCCGAAGATACCGTGCGGAGGTGCCTCTTCCTCTGGGGTACGAGAGGCTGTTGGCTACTGTCGCACCCTCTAGGATGTTGGATATAACCTTTTGTCATTTAGGAGATTGTGGGTTTTGTTCCGTGTGTGTCATGACGCCGGAATCAATAGCGGGCGCCGGCGCCGAGACCACTCTTTCTCCTATTTTTTTCCCGTCGCCGATCAGACCTTTGACTTATTTCACTCATACCTCCAATTATTTTTTATCCCCTCATTCAGTGATAATTGGAGAATTATCTTTCAGCGAAATGTTAAACTGACGCAGAATAAATTTTCATCATGATAAATGTTTTATATTGAATACTCCTGGATATTGCCCTGTTAGAGGATTGCAAGAAGTTTCGAGGAGTTGACAGGTGTCAGATCTCAATCGAAAAACCCATATCGAGTAATAAAGATAGTGAAATTAGAATGGAAATTGTTTGCTCTTGCAGAACAATTACGCCGGGTGGTGTGAATCAGATTTCCGATGGCCAATTGGAATTATCGGAGTCTCTGCTCGTTGTAAAGGCTGTATGTTAAATGAGTTACGTAACTCTTTTGAAGGTGATGATATTTGGACTGATGATTGAACTCATGGTTGGTTGATTAAAAATATACATTTATTGGAAGAGTTTTAACAGATCTCATCGAATTTTTTCTTTTGCCAGATACTGCGTGAAGCCAAGTATTCCTAAAAATAAAATTCCCATAATTAGCAGTTACTTCAAAATTAAATCGTTAAATTATTAAAAATGTCGTCAAGATATATACGATCAAGCTTTGCCTTCTCTCCGTGCCTTTGAAATGCTTCCATCAATTCCACAAAGGTCTCTCGTTTCCCTTTATCAATAGCCTTGAAGCTCTCATTGATTTCGGTATATCTGAGTTCAAGTAAAAAAAATTAATTCGTTAGGAATGAAGGCTTCAAAAAATCAATATTGATGTAATGTTGTCTTAATTAAATTCTGTTGATTGGAAACAAACCGTTGCTGATAATAATGCTGTGCATCGATTGCCCACTCTAAAAGTAGATTCAGCCTCGGTCTGGACGGGGTTCCCTGCACAATCTCCTTCATGCTGGGGTCATTCACAAAGACCCCACTCCTCACTTTCTCCAAGTGAATCAACTTGTTCTTCAACTCCTGAATATACAACTCAATTAGAAAATTTAAGCAATAGCAAAATTTAATTAATAGCAAAGAGGTGAAAGATAACAAGTTGATCTAACATGTTAGTTTTCTAAGAGTATCTCTGAATCTATTATAGAAAGCGTTATCTTAGAAAAGAACTTTTCCGTGGCTCTCATTTCACTTAACAAAAAAGGACATCAGAGAAATTTTTGTATTTGTCTTTTATTCCGAGATATTTCTCGCTTTTCCTCTTCTTCACTGGAACGAAATCTCTATTTTACCTGATTGAGCTCCCCCAGACTCTGAATAGTTCCCCGTATTCTGGAGATCTCCTCCTCCATCCGAAGATCAATTTTGAATGCCAATTTTTCCCGCATATTCTCAATTCCACAGATCTCTGCATTGTCGATCTCCTTACTGCAAGCACGTGCCGCCCTCTTTAAAAACTCTCCACAATAACAAAAATCATGGAAAATCAAAACAATACCTCCCCCCAACAATTGAAAATTCAGCGAGAAAGAAATGATTTTATAAACCCCAAATAATTCTTAACTACAGCAATAATAAAAATGATTAAAAAGCAATAAAAGTAGGTCCTTAAATTGTACCGTTACCCTAAAAATGACCAATGACTAAAATACCTGAACACATGGCCAAGTTGCTCTGAGAAATTTTGGAGTCCCTGGAGGCTGTCTCTGACGCTCTCGCACCTTTCTGCCCATTTCCCCTGAATTGTCTGGAGGCCGGAGTAAAAGCCGACGAGGGCCTTAAGCATGTCCTTCTCCATCCTCCGGAGGAGGTTATGACCATGTCGTCGCGCGCACGTGGTATCTAGATAAAAGCGATTAGACCTCCATCATCTCCCCAAAAAAAAAAGATAATACAACCCCCATCATATCCCGGTGGATGGGGTCGAATCGAACCCCACGAATCGAACCCCATCGGTTGGAGGGATCTCTAGTGCTTTCTTGGCATCGAAAATATCGGAATTGCCCGGGACAAGTACACGGGGTAAATCTAGAGGCTGACGGAGGAAAGAAAGATCGGCCGGCGAAAGGCGGAACACACCGTTGTATATACTAGTGAGGAACGGGGAAACGTGTAAGCTCTCCCTTCCGTGTTCCGTCTCCGTGTGGCTTTTCAGTCGGGCATCGAACGCGTTCGCGACTCGTACGTTAATAACGCTCCGTCTCCACTCATTCCTTATCCCCAACTGTCATTAACCCTCATCATACAAACCAATAATAACCAATAACCCAATAAGCATCGATTCTCCATTGACATAATAAAATGAAAATTTCACCACTGGTGAAAATATCATTTGGCAAATTGCTGGCAATTATATTGCGCGCATCGGATTGCGTCAATTGAGGTGGTGTGTTTAACCCCCTTGTGATGCGCCGTCGCTGCCCATCGGCCTCATCAATTTGAATAAAAGAGACCTTCCTAGAGCAAATAATCACAACTGATCCTCTGGATATAATAAATTAATCGGTGGTGCACCAGTGAATTTATCGAGGGATTGATTTGGTGTCTAGTTGTTAATTTGAGTCGACGGACGTGACAGCCCGTTCGACTCAAATAATTCCAAATGGAGGAGATGAACGGAAAAATCCATCACCATGATCAGCTGGATGCTGCATCCATTGACACCGATATTCTCAACCCATTTGTCCATCGGTTGGATCTCGGCACGACTTATGATAAGCTCAAGGTCAGTACTCGTGTTGTTTCGTGTTGTTTCGTGTTGTTTCGTGTTATTTTGTGTTGTTTCGTGTTGTCCAAAATATTCACCATCATCAAAATGATAATAATTTTCGTTGAGTTTAGTAGCAAAAGAAAAGAACGAATAAACAGTATCGGAAGAAGATTTATAGTGGCAATAGTTGCACTCATGAGTAATCCCCAAATAGCCCCAGACGGCTCGTATCATTCCCACGTGGCGTTCTACCCCCACCTGGTCATCTCTCTGATCTATCTGATTTGATGAGCTAGATCAAACCATTTATTCCGTTGTATTTATTGAAACTATTCTGAGGCGTTTGACGTTGCATTACATGTGAAATACTCACGGAAGATGGCATGAGATAATCGGATAACGGATTCGACGAGTCGCAGCGAATGCACCCGAGTCTGTCTGACCCAACCGACGAGATTCCACTGGAAATCAAAACACCAGGGATTTATTATTTGGCCTTTGGAGAATTGGATAGAGGGATTTTTCAGTGCAATTCTAGGGCTTCACTCTTGCCTTTGAAGTGTTATCGGTCGTTGTGCCACGTATGTGGGACAAGAATGTGGGTTAACGGAGAAATTATCGAGGGACTATCCAAATGAATATACCTCAGTGTTCATTACATCCACGTGTCTTACGACCAAGCGATATTATCAATTCGTAGACATGTATTATTGGTTGAATATTAGTTAAATATTTTTGAGCGAAGGAAAACTGCGAAGGTCGCGTCAAAGTAGTTTGTGATAAGAAAATCGAATATCATATGCGTTTGGCTTTGGCTATTCAGTGTTTTATTGTTGTCACAAATGGCCAATTCGTGTAGTTGAGATAAAATACCTGACGGCTGAAATTTGCCATCAGTAGATAGGACTCATTCTATCCGCGAATTAGGTCAATTCAAAATTGATTGATTTGTCAAGTCTCACAACTACACTCTGCCTTCCAGAGGGGCAGAAATTCGTTAGGAATAATTATGCCTGATAATAATGAAAAATGAGGAAAGATAAAGAATGAACAATGGCGAACTATGACGAAACTGGAACGGAATGGATGGATTTTTTATGGACGTTTTGGGATTTGCATTGGACTTTATAATTAATTGTTGGTATTTTTATAAAGTGGATTGGAAAACGGACATTAGATGTGGTCGGTTGAGCTTTGAAAAAGAATAAGTCGGCAGATAGAGTTAAGAAATTTATATTGTTGGGTTTTTGTAAGACGGTCACGGCCACTGGGAAGCCATCAATGCTATAAGCTGTTTTTATTGGGTTTGAAATTGCACGAGAGTCGACCTATACTGATGCTCGCCGTTGAAATAATACGAGTCAATCGTTAAAACGGGTGATTAGATGTTGGGGTGAATTGTATTAACAACAGGAGAGAAAGCCTGCCAGGGATAACTCGATGTTTTATGAGAAGTTGATGGATCCGAGCATCCGTTGGGGAGTACAGTTAGTTTGAGACTTTACGAGGAAACTTTCTATGTAAAAACTAGCGCATGACGGATTCCCATTTTAATAGCCTAAGGGTACGTCCACCAATTGACAAGGGATAGGAAGGCCTCGAACATTAACCGATTGAGATTGGGTTTGAATTCATTTAGATAGGATGGCTTCGAGAAGCCAGTGAAAGTTGAACGGTTGATAGATACTGAGGCAACCACGCTTTTCTGACTTTTTTACATTGCGGAGAAAGTGAATGAGAATCTCCGGTTTATTAGGATTCTTCGGGATTCGATTTTTTTTTTTTTTGGTATCGACGATACTTCCGGTAAGGGACACTCTTCTAGTTATTTTATGCACTTGTTTATCCTCATTATGAATGGGAACCAGAAATTTAATTAGATCGTTTATGAAATATTCACTGGAAAAATAGTTATTTCAATATTGAATAATTTCTAATTAGTAAATTGATGATTGGGATTGACTCGGAATTAAATGATGAATAATTAGCGTTGGAATAGTTACGAAGAGTACGATCTAATAAACAGGAGAAAAGTATCGCACAATGTGGGTCACAAAAATAATAATCCTAAAAGATTATTCATTAAGGTGTAATTGACCGTCATTAGATGTGATTGAAATGATTCGGTCGGATTATGTTTTTCATGGGAGAGATGTAAAGGGGTAATAATAACGGGTCATTGAACGGTTAAGAATTAATGTATACAGCTTTAGGCGTGAATAACTGGAAAATTTATTTAATTTTTGCATCTGTGAATGACAATTTGTATGAGGAAGTCATTATAGTAATTATTTTTACTGAAACGGAATACAATGTAATCTCATAAAAAGAGGAGAATAACTGCGAAGATAATGTGGGTCACACATGACAGAGTAAATCCCGGAGAATTCTTCATTCATAAAAAAAATATGGCACTATAGCATATGATCGAAGCGATCCTTCTCTGAAGAGGTACGCGGCCTTTGGCCGACTTTCACAGACGAATTCGCCTGTAAATCGTCGAGGAAGAACGGGCACAATAAACGGGAATAATAAGAGAAGGACAGGTGAACTCATTTGACTCCGAAGTAGCCTCGATAAAAATTTGGTAAAAATAATCTTGGAGAGAAATATCCAGACGAGCATTAGACACATTTGAAGGAAAAAGTAGAGATCGGTTTAGGTTTAGAGAGTGCGCGAGGCGCGTGCGCAGTTATTCAAGATGAATCGATGGTGGCTATATCAGTTGCGAGGGTTCCGAGGAAGAAAGAGAGTTCAGAGAATGTCTAACGGAAAACATGGAAAACGGTACATATACAGGACCGCGCAGTCCAACGGTCCATCGAACTCCCGCTCAATTTCATATCCCAAAATTCCACTGGTTCCACTGTGAATCTTACCAATAATTTTTCATCCATGTGTATTAGATCCGAACATTTCTCGACGATTCGAAAGTGGTTTCACTTTAATAGAGAAACGTTAAATGAGACGAATGAGGCTGCAGCATCAAAGAAAATATCATTTAATTTAATCAACACGACGTACTAGATACCAACAAAAACCAGGCGATTTTTTCGTGACATAGCACAAATCCGTATCTTTCGAACCCATGCAATTATTGAGACCTCATCAGGGCCTTCTCTTGAAGAATTAAATACTGCGCTAAAAAGCTTACATGCGTTTAATGAACGGAATCACTGGATTCTGACATATTGAGAAAAATTAAATCAAGTCAAATGATTGAAAGTTGATGTACTGATGATTTTCAGACGGCGTTCTTGACGGTGGCACTTCTCCCCTTCCGCCTAGCGGTAATCACAGCTCTGGTGATAATGGCGTGGCTCCTCGCGTGCCTCGGCCTCCACGGCCTCTCCGAGGAAGATCTCCGCCGCGCTCCTCTCACCGGATGGCGACGGTGAGAATAAATCTTTCAACTTATACCGTCCAAACTTGTTCTTGCTACCACTAATGCTTTTAGAAGTCTTAATCCTTTGATATCAATTTTCAATCTTCAAAATGATGATTAACACGCACGGAAATTGATGGGAAAAATTCATTTGTGTAAAAAATTTTCATTCCTAAGATCTCTTCAGCGCTTCTAACTTAATTCACAATAGTTATAGATATTTAATAATGGAATAATAAAACAAAACAGGATATAATAAAATTGCATCACTTGATCATTTTTCACTGAATTTTTGTCAATTTTCTGTTAATTATTTCACGAAAATTCGATAAAGGTCGATGATTTATTTGTCAATTCGTATATTATGAATGAAAAATGTATTGATAAATGTGAAAAAATGAATGACTAAAGCTCGTGAATATTCTCAATTCAATGAGAAAACAGGAAACTTCTGGTGGCCTTGAACGTCCGCCCATAATTGAACTGTCCTGAATTATTCAAACGTTAAATCGATGGAGCCCAGTGTCATTTACGCTCTTGACTTTCCATCAATTTTCACGCGGAAAATCCGACAAATGGCTTTTCCCCACTAAAAATGGCTTACTCTAACAAATCCGGGGTTAATCGAGACGACTAATTAGAGATATGAGGGTGCTGGTGTGCTGGGTGATGCGGGCAATGTTCGTCTGCGGTGGATTTCACCATTTGAAGGTCAAGGGTCAGAAGGCAACGACTAAGGATGCGCCAGTGCTTGCTTTGGCACCGCATTCGAGCTTCTTCGATGCACTACCGGTTGTCTACCTTGGTGGTCCCAGCATCGTTGCCAAAGCCGAGACCGGCAGAATTCCATTCTTTGGAAGTAGGTCTTCCGAACTTGTTTTTCCTTCTCTCAAAAGTTCCCTACACACTCCAAAAATCAAAAAAAAAAACAAAAATTAATAGAAAACCAAATTGCAAATACACTATCCATCTATTTTTTTCACTTTTAGTAAAAATTCGAACATTATTCTCTATTTTTTGGGGTTTTGTTTAATTTGATATTCATCAAAAAAATTGATTCATCAAAATTTTTATTACCATCGTATATTGACAAGTCAATAAAATTTCACATCTTATTACGAAAATTTTGAAATTTAATTTTATCGAATTCCCAATGACTTGGGAGTTCGATAAAATAATCATCTGAATTTTCACAATTTTTGCAAGTTTTCCTTGCTGTATGAAACCTGACCTGGATGTGAGAATTTCAATAAATAAGGAATTGTTAAATTTTCATAATTTTACACCTTAGAAAAATAAATAACCTGCCATGTTGCTATTTCCCATTTAAATCACCATGACAATAAATTCGATAATTCTGTGCACATAATCCTGTTGCATCCCTTCGCTGCTAGAATCTTTCCCACAATGGGCGGTAACTTGTGATTATTTTGCTTCAATGGGAATTCCTTATCGCCGAGTAATTAATTCACAATATAGACTCATCATCATCATCATCACATTTTCACACAAAATCATATATCTCCTTTTATTCACATTCTACTGTACTAAAACATTTTTTTGCTCTCAATTCGTTGAGAAATTCATTGACGTACTGTAAAAAATACTGGTGGATGGGAATTTTCGTTTAAACTAATCTAATTAGTGAAACCATTGGCAATTGGTGAAGGATATAATAATGTGAGAAGAGAGTGAAGACAGTGAGATGAATGAAAATATCGTAGAAAAATCATTCCCTGGCTGTGCTACCTGGGAAGACTGACTTATCAAGCAGGAGGGATGAAGATAGTGGTCCGGGGGAGGCAAGCATCCAGGGCTGAGGCCCCGATCCTCGTCGTCGCACCGCATTCGACATTCATCGACGGTGGAATCATCTACGTGACGGGTTTCCCCTCGATCATCGTCAGGATCGAGTCCGGACTGAATCCTTACATCGGAAGTATGTGGTGATGATGTTTAATTCGCAAATCCCATTCACCGGAATTTATTTAATTTCTAATTACAAATTCTAATTTAATGACGTATTGAATAAAAAGGGAATGATATTTAGTGAGGAAAATGAATTGTCTCGTTGAATTAATTAATTGATTAATTATTTTCGATTCAGAATTGATAAATTACACTCAACCAGTGTATGTCTGGCGGGATGACCCAAACTCCCGTCAAAATACCATAAAAGAGATAATTGAACGAGCGACGTCGAAGGAGGACTGGCCCCAGGTGATGATATTCCCAGAGGGAACCTGCACTAATCGCTCGTGTCTCATCACCTTCAAGTGCGGAGCATTCTACCCCGGCGTGCCTGTTCAGCCTGTGTGCATTCGCTATCCGAATAAATTAGACACAGTTACCTGGACATGGGAAGGCCCTGGAGCGTACGTTTCCTCCATTTAATCGCTGATCCTTCATTTCTTGCATATACTCGTTGAAACTTTTCATTCGAATATCCACTGAAAGTCCTGGAAATTGTTGACAAATTACGCGCTCGCTGAATTTTTTTAGCGATTTTTTTTTTGAGAAGAATTGATTAATATTTTTTAAAATCCAATGCAATCGACAATATAAATTCTGGGGAGTACATCAAAGTGCCTCGAACTGCAGGATTTTTTATTGAAAATTCTATGCAGTCATTTTCACCTCAAATTTCATAGACTATTATACCTTGGAACAATTTACATGTCTTAATTCAGTGAGAATTTTTGTTAAAAATGTAGGGTAGGTAATGGAAAATCGTTTGGACTTTTACAGATTGAAATTACTGTGGCTTACACTGACACAATTAAACAGCAGCTGTGAGATCGAGTTCTTGCCAGTTTACAGGCCGAGCGAGGCTGAAAAAACAGACCCTAAACTATACGCGAATAACGTTCGACGGTTAATGGCTGAGTAAGTAATATATTTGTGAAAATAGCAAGTAGAAATCCGGGCTAGTCCATAAACAAAAGTTTGAAAAAAATGTCCCAGTTCACAGATTTACTAGAAAGAATAATGTAGTCAGCATCAATTTTTAGAGAAATCAAGAAAAAACACGGAATTTCAAGCAAACAGCGCTTTCTTTGCGAATATCTCGCTATCGAAATAACAACGCAATTTTCCTCGCAACGTCATAATTAGAAAATGTATGGAAGATTTTTTGTGAAGAATAATCTAGTCTAGTAATTAGAGATATGAAAGGGGCAGTTCCCTCCCCCCTGTACAACCAAATCAATTCAAACGTCTTTTCCAAAAATTCTTTCTTCACGAAATGTCTATTGTAATTAAATTGTAAATCTAATTGAATGAATTACTAATAAAAACTTTACTCATTGCCTGAATTTTACTGTTTCAGAGCGCTTGAACTACCAGTATCGAATTATACATACGATGACTGCAGAATAATCAGCAAAGCTCACTCACTTCATCTGCCCCACGCCTCGAATATCGTTGACGTGCATAAATTGCGGCACAAACTCGGGTAACTTCCTAAACTATTCAAGGAAATCCACTGTTTCACGTTGAATACCTGTGGTGTAAATAACTTGTGGGATCATTAAAAAAAAGTTATCATATTTGACTCTCAATGTCCACCTAAAATCATAACAAATAATGAAATAGAAAAAGTAGTCTCTTGAATGACCGCGGTGAAAAAAATTTATTTCAGTTTGCAGAAGATAAAAGCGGAGGAGGAATTGGTACAGCAGCGGATATCAAGATTCGGTGACGCAGTGGATCTTCAAGAATTTGCGAGAATACTTAGGCTGGACCCGAAGGATCCATCAGTCCAGCAATTATTTAGGATTCATGACAGGGTAACAAAAATCATCACCTTAATATCTTCAACGTAAGTCGAATCTTCTGATGAATAAAGAGAACCTTTCGTTCCAGAATAATCGCGGGCGAGTGGACCTGCAGGAGTACATATTCACTGTCCTGGCGATAGCGAATGCAAATTCAGAGCTAGACCTTGTGGACATTGCCTTCGAGGTAAGTGAAATATGATTAACTCTTAGTTCGGAATCAAACAATTTTTTAAAATTAATTGGTGAACATTGTAAAGGTCTGCGACTCGAACGGCACAAAGTGTCTCAGCGCCAAGGAGCTCCAGAAGGTCCTACGGTTGTCCTTACAGCTGCACCCTGAAGAGTGCGATCGAATATTCCTGCAAGCATGTCGAGAAGCCGGTGGAGGGGACTCAGTAACATTAGGTAAGAATCGATTACTTTGAAACAGGTGATATATCTTCATAACAACAGCATTGACGATATAAACTCATAAGAGACTCATGCAGAGAATTTCATTAACCCCAAAAGCATGCTCTGTCATTTTCCGCTCAAATCACTCGTTAACAAGAAGATTGTATATGAATTAAAAAGTTATATTTTAGTGTTTTCTCGCGGGCAAAGGAACCTTATGCGTCAAAATACTTCAATAACGAATGATTTGTCGAAAAAATGATATGGACCTTCTTGGTTGTTTATAAAATTTTCCCCAAGAAAAGGTCTTATCAATTTCTTTGAAAGCTCTATTATTTTGTGAGAAAGCTCAACGTAAAAAATTTGTCATCAATTTCCAGAAGACGTAATAAGTGTATTGGGAAACCGACCCGAGTACTCTCACCTATTTTCATCGGACATGGAGGAGAGAAGGAAAAAATCTATTTGAGAGTGTCTATTCGGCTCGTCGGAAAGTCCTCCAGTGATCAGGAAGAACCGGGACTCGGACAAGCCGCTGCTGACAGGCGTCTGCTCGCCCGTCTAATAGTTCTAGTTCGCACTCTAAAAGTCAAAGTTCTTCCGCGTTACTCCCCCCTTCGTTTCCCGTAAACCAGTCATATAAATAGGGCATAAGTTTGCTAATTTGAAACAGACAGTCCCTATCCCCTAGTGGGAATCAACCAGCGACTAGAACCTTATCAATTAGATAGATTGCTCAGGGCTAGCGAGCGCGTTTCGCTCGACAATTAAAATCGCAGTATCACCTAAGTACTAGTTACAAAAAACTTTCCAATTCAATTAAAACCATCAAATTTATTGAAACCGCTCTGTATAAATACGTTTCACTATATTTAATATTCAATAAAAACATAGATAACAAGGAGATAAGAAAAAAAAACAATTGTTAACACTCAGAAACCAATCGTGCAATTGAATCGATGGAAATTAATATAATTTAATGTAAAAACGCATATAAATCTATCTTACGCATACTGCATGTATATATTTATTTAACTGTATATAGATAAAATAAAATATTCTTACAAGATGAATACTCTCGAAACAACGATTTACTCTCTCGATTCCCTCATTCTTCAAAAATAGCTCTATTAAATTCACTAACTTTTAAATACTGTAAGTACATATTATCGTTGAGAAGATAAAGTGAACTAGTTGTTCGTAATTATCTAACACATTTATCATTTTTCTTCGCGTGTTAATTGCATAATTTTTGTCCTCTACTGGTGAATAAAATATAATTTGTGCTTACGATGTCCGGCAGCTTGGCTCAGTGTGTATGCTCGCTACCTCGCATGCGAGAGGTTTCGGGTTGAAATCTCACCAGGATAGAATCATGAGATCTAACGCGAGAAAAATGGCATTACTGTAAAGGCACCTTACGAAAATTCCGCTTCCCTCCGTTGCCCTCCGCTGAATCACTCACCACCACTATTTTTTTCTGAATATGCTGGGCATACTGGGCGAATTTGGTTTCTGGGTGAATATCTTGGACATCCTTTGACGCATGTCTTCAACACCCTGGCCCACGTTGGCCGTTGCCAGGGACAATGAGAGTCCGGAACTTGCAGAAATTGATCTGTAACCAAAGGAAGTGAATGATGATGAGTATATGCGGAATCAACGATTGGTTGATAAAAAAAATTGAATTTTTCTTAAATCCACAGATATTGCTGAAAAACTCAATTGATATATAAGGCAGCTTATCTTCCTTTGCCCCTTGACAGTTGAATTATCTTTTTGTTTTTTTTTCTTTTCTACTTTCACATTTTTGTATTGTTGGGATTTTGAAAAATACCTTTCGATAGGCCTCTGGGCATCGTGTCTAGACTCGGCCTCCTTGATAAGCGACCTGACAGTCTCCCTCTGCTGTGGAAGCACCTGGGTTACCAATGTCTCTAGAGATCTCAGTCCAGGAAGCAGTACACTCCCCACACATTTATCGCTCAACGAGCAATAAAGAATAATAGAGTAGGCATTAACCAGAGCATCCGCGAGATCTTCTCTCCTACCCTGTTGCAGGGCTGCGACAGTAATCTCAGTCAACTGACTGGTGATGAACTCCTCGACATAATGCTGAGGGCAGTTGGGGGCAATGTGAGCCAAAGTGGTCACCAAAGGTACAGCTAAATAATTTGAAAATTGAGGTTCCCTGGCGATGGTCTCCAGTGTCAATCTTCCCTTGTCTTTCGTCTCTCTAGATCCACTCTCCATGATAAGTTTCCCCAGTGCATGAATTACCGCAGCCTTCAATATGAGATCAGAATCTGAAGCCAAAGTCACAATAGCTGGAGCAATCCTGGCTGCGACCAGTCTATCCCCAACAGCAGAAATGATTTCAGCGAAAATTTCTGCTGTGTCCCTCCGGACACAGGCTCTTTCATGCACCACTCCATCCCACAGGGCCGTCAAAACAACCTCAACGAACTTTGATTGAGTGCAGAGCCTCTTTATTCCAATAATGAGAGTAGTAATGTCAGTTCCACTCATCGCGCAGAGGACTACGAATTTTTTAATGCTCTTGGAAAGGTCAGAGGTATCGAGGGTTGAAACTATCGTTAGATAAACGGGTATCAGGGTGAGATTCTCAGCCTGATCTCCACCGAGAGATATTATCCAGTCCTCCATGTCCTTCACTTCTTTTTCAAACATCTTCTTGATCCTATACTGAGTGACGTAACGACCAAAGCCCTCGCAGAGCCCCTGAAAATACCCCATCAAACTGTTGAGAACACACTCTTGAACGTCTGAACGTCTTGAACGTTGAAGGTCTACGACCTTCACCATCTCCACAAGCTCAGGAAGGAGTTTATTCGTGAGCCAATCGAGCTCCGGCCAAGTGTCCTCAACCCAGATATGCGATAAAAATGTATTCAAAATAATGCCAATGTCCTCGGAGTCGTCGCATAACACCTGTGGATTCGTAATACTGGATCTGCACAAGGAGATTATCTCCCTGGGGATCTCCGATGAGGTGTCCTCCTGGATACTGGATTTAACCACTGGAGAACAAGCTACTGAGACTATCGTGTGAGGTAAAAGAATAGTAAGGACAGTGATGGTTCCACAGGCCCTCTCCCCCTCGTGTTCCTTTCCAGTAGATTGGCTGGGCCTGAGCTGATTCTTAAGTTTCCCTAGGATTCTGGGCAACAGGTGGGACTGAAAGCGTTTGAGAGAGAGAACCCACTGGGCCAAGATGGGGAGGAGAGTAGTAGAGGCTGCGAGAAAGACTTCCGGGGAGGAGTCCTCGAGGGCTGTAAGGGCGAGCTCCTCGCACTGGAAGTATTTATCGGAGTCATCCATCATTGCCACCAAAAGAGAGAGACTCTGGACAACAGAAGCTCGAACTGAAGGCTCCTTGTCCTCCAGTAGCATCTGCTGGAGCATGGAAATCATAAGGGAGTTCCTGAGGCCACTGGGAGTGTAAGGAGCCAGGACTAAGCAGCACTCTGACGCCAAGAGTCGACGTTCTGAGTATTTATGTTGGCTCTGCTCCCAGCAGATGGTCAGCACCTCCTCAGAATTTGGGGGGCTGTCCTCCAGCTTCACTATTGATACCAGTCCTCCCAGGAGGATTCTTCTCTCATCTTCCTGTGGCTTTTTCTTCAGGTTGAAGAGCAGTTGCAGGAGCTTTTCACGTTCTGAGGGATCGGGATGGAGGCGAATTGTGTTAAGGATGAGGGGAATTATCTCCTCTCGCTTGTTGAGAACGATGTTAGGAGTGATTTTGGGAAGACTGATGGCGAGAACATCGATCAGGGCATCTTGTGTACCATCTGAACCGAAAGGGGAAGCAGTTATCTGGCAGTGGGCCAAGACTTCTCGTTTAAAACGAGTTGGGAGAGTTCGGGATGGAGAATTTGGAAGGGTCGGGGTTTCGGTAGTGATGTCCATTCTCGGCAGGTGGATTCGAGTCCACTCTTTGTCCCCTGGGTCTGTGTCCCCGAGGGACACTACCACAGAAATACTATCCGCCTCCTCGAGATCCTCTTTCATTGCAGGGCTTCTATCGGACTCCAGAACTTCTCTCGGAGACTCAAGCATCTCAAATTTATCTGGAGTTGTGGAATTAGAGCTCGTAATGTGGACATTCTGACTGAGATTCTGCTCATCCTGGGATTTTCCCGATGCCTCCAGCCTCTGCTCGAGTTCCTTATTAACAGCTTGAAGCCTGTCCACTTGTTCCTGCAGGCTCTCCAATTCCTCCAAGAGTCTCGCCACCTTTTCTCGGTCCTCCCTCTCCTCGTTCTGCTTCTCCAAGCTCTCTAACCACTCTCGGTCAGTCTGAACTGCAGCAGAAGTAGAGGCGGGCCTGTGGTAGCCGCTACCCCTGAAAAACTCCCTGTAAACCTGTACTAAATCTGGTGGCTTGGAAATATTAAGTCCTACATCCTCCCAATCCTCGAAGTCCTGATCCTCATTCTCATCGCTAAAGGTTATCGATGTTAACTTGTAAGACCTTGCTAATAAATACTCGTAGATGAGAAAGTTGAGAGCTCTCTGTTCATGGGGCTTGATCGGGGGGTCTCCCAGGCAGCTCCGATCAGAGTTCTTGTCAGGAATCGTCTCAGATTCCGTGACAACCGTCAGGTTAGCCCTCAGAGCTGAGATATTCTCCCTAGCCTTCCTCAACTCGAACTCGAGAACTGCCACTCTCTCATCGACTCCTCCCCCGTCTTCTGAGTATCGGGAGATGTCCAGGGAATCGAGGGTGGCTTGACTGCTAGATCGATGGATTGGGAGAAGAGGTTCTGGTTTGCTGTGAGACTCAAAGTTACTGGGATTGGCGAAGAAGTCTCTGAGAACTGGCAGCTCCCTCCCAGCTTCACAAAGCTCTGCGTGGAGTTCTAGGGCTGTTAGTAGAAGTTTCTCACTCAAAAGCTTTGTGGCTATGTCGTTGTACGACAGCTTGAGGGCTGTGACCTGGGGCATAACCTCCGCCGGGGCCTCCATCGTTTATCCTTTGGAGATCACTCCTAATAACCAATGATTTAGCATGATTTTATGGCCAAAGAAAAGGATTGAGAGAAGGCAGTGACTTACCTTCTTGCTGAGGTCTGCTAACTGCAATGAGATTGACGAAATTAACGCAACATCTGTGATTGGAATGACAACACATTGTGACGTCACTCTGTCATGTATGATCACGCAATCAGAGAGGCTGCGGAATGGGCGAATGAGTGCTTAAAAAGGTTACTAGATGACTTAGGAAATTTTTCGGGCCAGTTGTTGGCTGCGGCTGAACAGCTGGACACTCCACCATTTTAACTAGATTCGAGCGGAAACTTCAAGTATGAAATGTTTCAAGATGGGAAAACATCGAATCATATACAAATGACAGAGATGTATTCTGCTGTATGAGGCTTTACGCTTCTTTAATTTTTGAAGCATCTTAGCAGTCATGAGTTCCTTTGGTTAACACTCTCCCATAACGGCTGTTGGTAGCTAGTGTGCCTCAATATTTCCAGTTATTTTTTTTCGTTTCCATGTCGATATCTGCAAATGTTTTCAATTTTTTTCCGCGTAATCTCCTAATTCAATTAAATTTTAAATATCCTGTATAACAAATTTTAATGAGTTCCCCAGACTTTCCTCAGAGTAGACCTGAATTCATGAATTGGAATCCTGTTGATGGATTTGATGACAATACCATGTCATTTCATAATTTTTCTAGCCGCTTCAAAATAGAATTGTTTCATTGTAGCTGGGGATGGACCTTGTTGAGATTGAGTGTGAATTTGATCCGTGTTATTGGTGTTACCTGTTCATCATTGAACACGCGTTGAAGATTGTTCATGCGAGTCCTCAGGGTAATGATTTGAATATTCAACACTAGTTGCATACTCACCAGTTTTCAACACTTGATTGTTTAATCCACATTAATTCAACACTTTAGAAGTAACAAGACTTAGACGGAGTAGACCCTTGAGCATCTGACGAAGTAAGATCGCATATCAACACAATTCTGCATCAGATTTTTTTATCAATCTTGTGGTAGGTTCCATCAAAATATTACTTTATCTTCATTTGAGTTTTGAATTGACGATTCTCTGCTCATTAGGCAATATCCAGGACGACAGTTACCGCGACCTGATGATTTTCTGACTTAACAACAATTTAACTAATATTAATTTCTTTACAGATTGAATTCTTCGTAAATGCTGACCAGGATAATCCATAGGAATGTACGAATGGGCATTTGAGGACGACATTCTAAATAGCGGAGTCAGTTGATGAGGGAATCACGAGGAAAGTACTCTTCTCTATTAACTGTGTAATTTCTCCAAAACCACGGATTTACCCACTCAGAGCCTTCTAGTAGCATCGACAACTCATAATCGATGGAGATATTTGATTTTTATTATTCGGAATGGAAGCATCATAATGGAATTGGGTCTCTTTTTTCCAAATGTAGGCGTTATCTCGTTCTATTCATTGGCCTGAACTGAAATTTTATTCACTTATTGACTTTTTAATTTTCTTTTTTATGAAAACTTTTATTTAAAAACTGCGGCTTTAAAAAATTGTCTGGACGTCCTCTTCGCTCTGTTCGAAGATAATAGTATTTATCGTTGTTCTTATTTTTAAGAAATTTTTCAAAAGAAATGAAAGAAAGAAAAAGGAAAAAGAAATTTTTTTTTTATTTAAAAAAAATTAAAACTCTTAAAACCCTTTTGATACTCCGTTTCAAATCAATCCACTCACAGCTCAGAATGTCCGTTTTAGTGCTGCTGTACCTCCGTTGAGATTATGACATTAAGATATTACGTCCTTTGATTTGACTTTTGGAATGTTTTTTGCGTTTCCTGATTTTTTTTTAAAGAATTCACAGACAAGGATCTCGACTATTTATTTAGATATGATGTTTCAAAATTGTCAAACAGATATATTCATCCCATCTACAGGGAAGGTCAGGAGTAATCTCTTTATCGATGGGTCAAGAGGGTCAGCCACTGTACACATACAGGCTCCAAACATTGATTATAATATATAGGTATGTGATGTATAGAATAGATATACATTATTTCTCTATATAATAAAATAATAAAGTGAAAAATTGGGGTGTCAGTGAAAGTTGGATTAAGGTCACCCCCGTATATATTGTTTCTATCCCCTAAAAGGTTGGATTAAGATTGCATCAAGGTCGAATCAAATTGGGATTTCAGTTCAGTTGAAAAAGCATTAAGATAAGATTAAAATCGTCTCAAGGTCAACTAAACAGTTGATCATGTATACTGAAGTTTGATCACTATTGATGTTCAAAAACAAACAGGGAAATGAGTGATTGCCCCTCATTGAGACAGGCGTTCATTCAAGTCGTTTCTGTGATTTCAACCTATTTAGATTTCGGACACGGAATCAATGTCTGCAAGGAATTGTAATTATGAATGTTAAACCCGTTATTATTATTATGATTGTTAGAAACAAATTGTAATTGTTAGTCATGAAATATAGATTTTTGGTTATCTATGATAGAATACAAGAAAATTATAACATTTGCATTATCTTTAGTTTTTTCTTCACCAATCGCGATGATGACCGTCAGAGCCTTCTCAGGACCCGAATAATCCCTTAAGAAGGACGGCACATTTAGGGGATTGTGCCAAGATGCTGAGTATTTAAGGGTAGAATCAAGGGGTAAATTTCGTATGACATTAAATGTTTTACGTGAATGAGGCATTCATAATCTCGATTATTCTTAAATGTCACTCTAGGATAGATTCGTATATACTTTAGAATTAAATATATATTTTTGATAAAACAATTATGAACAATTAACGAAAATATGAGGACTCTTGGACAGCCCGTTGATTTGTTTAAACTAAATCAAACTCATCTGGAAATTTAACGATTTCCTCAGGGATATTGAGCATTGTGAGAATTCTCCTCATATCGTAGTGAATCCCATCTCCATTTGTCTCATTCCAGTCTCTCTGGAATTGCACTAGAGCAGTCTGGCAGGCACCCCTCCATCTGTCGATCTCTTTTCGCACGTCTTCTCTGTTGTGTTTTTTCCTACAGGCTAGCTGGGACTTCAGACTCTCGACCTCCTGCCTTTTACTTCGAATCCTCTTCTTCAGAATAAGGAGTTGGGTCTTTGAGGGCACTTCTATTCGCTTATTCTCTCGATTCTCCAAGACTTCGATCTCGATTCTCCTTTTTTTTATCTGTGGTTTCCCTGGGAATGGTAAGCTTCTTTTTGGTGTAGAATTTTGGCTGAAATTAAGAGTTGCTTGATAACAGTAATTCAACTATAATTTAGCATTAATTTAAAATTATGGTAAATTTCTAGTATAATAATTCCAGAGACCCCAAAATTTCGAGAAAATAGGAGTTTCTTAGTTATGCCCTATTTTACATCATTGTGCGACACCCGAGGCCATGATGAAGACACAAATACCATTACTTTGCAGACACTCCCAGAACAATGCCAGGTGATTCGGAGGAATTTATTCAGTTCTAAATGGTCTAAATGGGTCAACGGTTTTGATGCAAAAAAAATAGATATCTACAAAAATTATATTATGTTGAATAATTTCTAGAGTCAAACTGTTGATATGATAGCATTGATACATATTTGATTTTGCTGTGGTCCGCGTATTTTTTTATTGTTGATTTTTTGGCATGGGTGCTGTGTTGGAAAACGAAATCATTGATAACAGATAACATTCAGAAAGAAATTCTTACTCAGCAGTAGTAGGTGTAGTAGTAGATGTAATTAAAGGTGGTGTTTGCTTAATATCACATTTAGGAGTTATTGAGGCAAATGGTGAGCGAAAAGGCCTGTTAGCCAGACTGCTGTTCCTCAGGGGGGTACGTTTGGAGGTTAAATCTTTGTTCATCTCAATTATTTAAAGGCCCAACTGTAATTGAGGGAATGATGACGATTTTAGGGCTTGGGAGATGATTTGATTAGCGATCATCAATCAATTGACACTACTTGACACATTATGGGAAGTTTATCCAGTGCGTATTGCTACTAGATCCACTAGACTGAGCAATGTTTACGTTTTTTACGACAGAATGGACATCTGTCAAGGTTAGTCACGTGACATGTGAAGCAACCTACTGAACCCACTGAATTTTTTTCTCTTATTGTTACAGCTAAAATTCATTGAAGGTCAATTGTCGGTAGGCAATAATAAGCGATTGAAAGAAGAAAATTTATTTGGTTCTGTGGATGTTTCAAATGAATGACACATGTATCTCTCTAAATGAGATTGTAGTCCTTCTCATACGAATACATTAATGAATAACTAATTCTAATTATAATCAAGATTTAATTGGGAACACCGATCTATCAATTGATCATATTCACCAATTTGGTGAAAGAATAAAAGAACTTTTGATTATTTTACAATTCAGAGCGATGCATTTTCCCCATTATAAAATGCAATTGCAGGGAGTTTCCTTATGCCGTAGGTTTTCTCGCACGGACAAGAGGATTGTACTCATACATAGATCCACTATCACTGATTGAATCCTTCGAGAAGGATTTGGTTGTGTCCCCTGAAGGCAATTCTGCTTGCCTCTCGCTCCTATTCCTGGGCTCTTTATTCTCCTTATTTGTATTAAACAACATCTCCTTAATTGACTGCTGCTTGAACCTGTTCGGGACAGCAATTTCGATCCTCTTGTTCATGGGTTTTATCGATAATGGCTTCAACAATGTGGCACCGTTCATTAATGCGTTTTTGGGAGTGGATTTCTTGTTTTTTCCATGACCAGAACTGCAAAGATCATCATAATAACCCCAAACAATTAATTAAATTTTTATTTTTTTTTTCGAAATCCCAGTTACTCACGTTGAATTATGCTGTGGCTTTGAGAAGCTGTTATCCTGGGAATCATGGTTCCTCGACCCTGCGGAAGACTCAATGGTTACTGGAAGTTTCGGGAATCTGCGGCGATCAGGAAAATCAAACTGTTTATCAAACCCAATAGATTTTCGTTGAGAAGAGATCACTACTGAGCCTGACTCGGAGCGTTCTGTAAGTGCTTCATTGATTTTCCTCAAGTAACAACTGAAAAAACAACGGAATCAATTAATAAACCCAGGGATCGGCCAAAATAAATTGTTTT